AATAACCTGCAAAATATTAGGACAAGACGCACATACAAAGAACAACTTGATGAACATACACTGATGAATACAGAAGTAGAAACTCGACACCAGCGTGCTCAGGCGCCCGCATCTAGTCTAGGTTGCGCGCAACGGCCGTGAAAATATTAAGGGAAAAGTGCACAACACGATCTAGCTATGGATGCTGAGCACAGCTAGAAGTTCGAAAAACTTACTGCAATATTTCCAGAGGTCAATGACGAGATCGTGATTTTTCAATAAAAAAACTGAACGTGCCATAAAAAATTAATGTCAGAGAAACAAATGCCTATGGAACACTGGAAAGTCTCGACAGTACATATACACAAATAACAGAATCCGATTTTGTTTCGCAAAAGCCCTTATCGGTGCTCAAACTGAAGACAGCCGCTGCAAGCGAACAGTAATTTGTCCAAGAGTCGCTTGCTAAGGTATGTCTAGGAGACTAAGGAATGACAATAGCAGGAGAAAGAACGAAGCTTCTTCTATCCCTAAAGTGGTGGCCTTCGAGTGCGACGATCAGATGTAACAAGCAACTAGGGACAGGCAAGTCAGGTAATTCGAGGAAGATTCCATCGGTTTGTTCTCTGGAAAAGAGAAGCCATTTGGAACGCAGGAGCCAGGCTGCATGGCGAGTTCAACGTGACGGCGCAAAAATAGGCGTCGCTCAAAAATGATCCGCGCACCAAAAAATGAAATAAATAACCCAAGCTGGAAAACAAAGGTCATCGAACGATTGAGAAGGAGCGCAAAATGCCAACTTCAAAGTAAATCGTACGATTATTCTCTTTGCATTCTTTGTTACTTCTTGTACAAAGCCTATATATCGTAAATATATACATGTGTTATTATTATTATGTATATTTATGTACCGAGGGCTAACAAATTTATTCTTCACATAAAAATTGCATCAAACTCTACCACTAATTCGCAAAAAGGAGCAATGCTTGACGGCCTAAAACTAAGTTTGCGGTGAACATCTTTTCCCAGTCAAGTTCCAGTTAGGAAATTCCACGTTCGACGTGCACTGCATAGGAAACCATCTACTAGGCTTCCTCCAAAGAAGAAAAATTCTATTGGGGAAAAGATGAACCAAATTTGGTTAGAGACAAATTCCGGTGATTGCAGTCTTTGCATAAAAAAATTGATCGCACTGTTCCGCAGTTTCTGTCAACGTGGCAAGCATTCAAAAAGTTGTCGCACATATAGGAACAAAAAATAACCGTGTTAGAAGACAAGGGGACGCAATGCTAGTGGGTTGTAAGAACTGATTAGCTCAATATTTTGAAACAGTAGCTGAAACTTCTCATCAAGATTCAAGGCCCATTTTTTTTATTTACATGCAAAAATGGATAAAAAAAAATTGGAAAACCGTTATCAACAAAAATTTACGAAATTCCAGAGATGTGATTTAACCATCAACGATTCCCGATATTTTCAAAGAACGACCACAGGCATTTCTATCGCATCAGCACGGCGACGCGTGCTCGGCAACAGGCAAGATCGATTATCAGCGATCGAACGGCCCATGAAACCACGACAGAGGACCACACTCCACAGGCTGAATGTTTCCCACGCTTACAAAGAAGCAAACAACAAAATTGTGTTCTGAACTTGAACTTGCTTAGATTGAAGTCTACTTTTAAACACGGGTTTTAAATCTTAGAATAAACACTAGTTCATACTACTAATAAATAAGCTAGAATTGGATAAACGATTGTTAAAATTAGCCGTTACCATTCTCATGTTCCTTGATATTTTTGCATTATTTATTTATTCATAATAATTCTCTTTATACCTACAATTTCTATTTGAATTTTTCTATATATAATTTACGGCTATTGCCTGATAAGAGAAACGTTTCTATAGGAATATACTTCAATGTTCAACAGAAACATAAATTGCAAGAATGCTTACAGAAGATGGATGAAGCATGCCGATAACTTCATTTCTTACTCTTGAAAATTGAGAGAAAATAATATGAGGAATTAGTAAATATAGGTACTTTATGATAACGAGATTTAACATAGAACCGTGAAATTTCCATTAATAATGGTGGCATCGAGTTTTTTCTAGCATAAAATGAAAAAGAGAAATAATAAATTATACACGTTTGGAAAAGCGAAGCAACAAAGAGATGCACATGTGTTGGAAAATATGACCCTCGACACATGACAGGCACACCCCGTGAATGAACTGAAACTTGAATGAAGGCGTTCACAGAAAACACCATGAGATTCTGAATATTTTCTATCTGCTTGTTCAAATTTACCGTACATGTTAGAAAAACAAACTTCATCATCAAAATCTTCACATAATACGACGTAAGCAAACATTAGTTCTGGAGATAGAGATTCTCGAACTTCAGAGGCCCAGCCTGGCAGGAGGTACGAGGTCCGGTCTCAGCGAGCCCTGGGTGCGGCCTCTCTAAAGACTCTTTCATCAGTCGCCACTTGTGGGACTCACACCCAACACAGGCGAGTCATTTTACATCCACTCAACCGACTCAAGCGTTATTTTTAGTAAAGAATATCAGTCAATTATGAAAAAATCTAAGTGCCTGACTCTTTAATCACGATATCAAAGTTTCTCAGCGGGACTCGTAATTGCCTAGTCACGAATATCCAGGGTACCCTCCCACACTTGAACCCTGACAGCCAGCCTAACCACACACGTTGCAACGCCGGTTCAGGCCGACACAACCTGCCGCACCCAAGGCAACCGCCACACTGAATGAATTTAATCCGTTTATTCCGTTGGCGCTGTTGCCTGTTTTGTTGCTTTTTGGTGACAGTAGAATGTTAACTCATGGGTGTTGCTGTCGAATTTGAAACTGAACGATTGTACCATGGTTGAACCATATATACCAGTTCAACCATGGATTGTACCGTCTCTTAGTCTATACTGGCTGTGAATCACAGTGAGCTAAGAGTTAATCTAATTCCACATTTAAAAATTCAAACCGAAACACGCTATTTTTTTTAATTTAACAAATTCAGAAAAACATCGATAAATTTCAGCTTTTGCAATATTTATGAACACATAAACAAAGTTGAAAAAACACGCAAATTTTATTGCACTACTGTAGCTGATTATAAATTGTTGAAAGAAATCAATTCAGATTTGTAATTGCTAGTACAACGAACTGTATCCAGTAATGGCGTATTACTTGACCAAGATAAAAAAATATTTCGCTGAGGTAATTATAGGCAACCATAATGAAAATTATAGGCGACAACAGAGTACCTACTGCAGGTGAAAATATTGAGCGCCAATGTTAACCATAAACATAAATTTTCTCAGATTGCTCGTAGAAAACGATGAGCAGCTGTCTTTTGTCTGAGGGACTACTTAAAAAAAGGTAAGGTGGCTTCCGTCCGGCGTTCGCTAGTTCTAAGTTCAAAATATATTTTCCTTCCAGTGATTCAATCCATTAATAATATGCGTTTAAAAATTATTTTTTAAATACAACACTTCTGAACAATCCAGTGATCCTGTGTCTTGGATGTTACACATGTACAATGAATTTCTAATTTTATTTTCAAACATTGAAAAAATTATTTTTCAAAAAATTTTTAAGATATCAAAATTTTGTACATTTTCAAAATTATTTATTCAGTCAATTGATTCATGCATTGTCTCTGTCTTTAGGCAATTGTGCAAAAATTTCAGATCAATTGGACATGTCAAATTGTGTCATATATGGATTATAAGATTTGTAGCAGACGAAATTATTATTTTTTTTATAATGAAAAAAAAAATTTTTTAATGTATAAATTTTTTTTCTGTCAATTGATTCATGCATTGTCTCTAACTTTACGCAAGTGTGCCAAATTTCAGATCGATTGGACAGGTAGAAGTGTGTTAAATATCGATTATAAGATTTGTAGCAGACAGACAAACAAACAAACAAGAAGTGAAGTTAAAGAGAAGTGTTGTAAAAAATAAGGTAATATGATAGGGCTTATATTAGGCGTGTTTTTTATTTTGGACTAGGGAACCACAAATTACCTGATATGATACCAGTAGAGCTGATTCACAAATTCGCTCTGGAAACTGGAGGAGCCGAAACTTTGACGTCACTGAACAACTTCCCACTAACATTCAAGTAACAAAAATTAAAAACCGAAAGCGGGAAAGAACTCAAAGCAACTAACAAATCGTACGTTCGATTAAACGTCAAACAACTTATGCAACCTAGAGGCTGGACCCTTAAGGGGATCGGCTACCCTCCGGAAAAACTTCTACAGTTATTATCCGATTATCATGAAACTTCACATACATACGTAAAAGGTAAAAAGAAAAACATTTTGCTATTATGTATTTTTCGAAAAAATTGATAGAAAACGTGAAATTCATAGAAAACGGCTAAAAAGGGGTACTTCAGAAAATCTATGTCCTCCCACAAATATCATCCTACAACATCGAGACACGTATCATTCGATTTGTAAAGACCATATCTATCGACTCTAACATCACTTTTTTCATTTTCCACCTAGTTTTTTTATGACGTTTTTTCCCATTATATCTAATTACTTAAAGAACTCTCTCACCCGCTTCCCTTTAAAGAGACGTCATGAACGTAAATATTGGCGTACAGCGATGGCAGTGGTACCACCATTGGAAAGAGCAGAATTCCAGCTTTCAGATGAGCACAAAAACCGAAAAACGCCAAAATTGAAAATTTTAGGGTAGCCGATCCCCTTAATATCAAAGCCCTTGGCTTGATCACCACAAAAATATATCTCCGGTGTCGATAACAGGCGAGAGTACATTGTAATTAAAGATGGAGCATTTTGATATCAGTTGCATGAAGATTGAACTGCGCGCTTTTATGATAAGTTTGCTATGCAAAACAGTCAGTACGAATTCTCACTGGTCAAATTCTGAAGTGACCCAGAGAATGTGATCTTACTCTCCATTTTATTCTAAGGAAATTAGGATCAATAAAATGTATTCCAAGGAAGTTTATTCTTACTTACCTGAGGTAAGACACCAGAGATTGGCGTCAATTTCGGGGGTCCCCTGATGTCGAGCTCCTCGTAGATATGATCACGAGAATCCACAACAGCAACACTGTTCCTCTGACGCCCACGCGATCCAGACAAGCCCGATGACGAAGAACCAGTAGTCCCCAAGCTGTTGAGGCCCCCGAGAGATCCCATGCCAGCACAGCCCATGCTGGATGCGAGGTTGTTACACACTGAAGACGTCATCACGGTACTAAACGAGTTCAGTCCAGATAGAGAACTGAGTGGTGTAGGGAGCCCTAGAGTGTGAACAGAGCCTGAAGATCCCATACCGCTGTTTGGTGGCCTGCATGACGATACGAAAACCAAGCCATTAATTTTATTATGCAGCAGAAATAATTTAATAATATTCACACATAAAACCACAGAACAAAGTTTACATATATTTTGAACTGAAACTATTTCATCAACGGTATATCTATTAGCAAAAAGTCATTACGTAACCCACCTTCTAGGTAGAGGTCGGAAAGGCTGGGCTCGGTTGGAAGTCATGCTCGGAGCTGTTGACATTGGTACGTATCTCTGGGAAGTAATCGGTCGCACAGCCGGATTACGAGACACAGGGGTGGATGAAGGAGTACACCGAGACTGAGAGGAGGTGGCAATATTCGTCGGAGAAGAACGGCATATGAGAGGAGTGTTAGAGGGTGTTGTTCGATTCGACTGAGGGTTGGTCGGTGTAGCACGAGATGATAGAGGTGTACTCGCAGTAGCCGTACGAGAAGTACAATTAGTGGGCGTATTGCGATTCGAAAGAGACGAAGTACCACTGTTAGGTGACGTCGAAACTCTTGGAGGCAGAGACTGATTCAAGTTATTGCTATTAATATTAGCTGTAGAAGACCTTGACGGTAGCTGAGGAGGGCTCAAATGGTTTGACCGACTCGTAGTGAAGGACTGGTTTGAAGGAACCATTCTTGCGTTTACAATAGGGTAGTTACTAGATGATCTTCCAGGCACATGACTACTATGAGAAGTAGATCTTTGCATTGGCGCTATGGTAGGTGTAGTGCGAGATATAGGGGTCGTTTTGGTATTGATAGGAGTCTTTGGAGAGAGCGAAGTGCGAGGTACTTGGGAGCCGCATCCATTGAGGTAAACTGAGCTAGTCACGTTGGACAGTTGTTTATTGGATGTAATATTCGTGATAGAATGTTTTTGTTGGAGAATTTTGTCATCATGAGGGGGTGATCGAGGTAATATTTTAATAGGCTGTAGTTTATGGTGAGGAAATGGCCTAGGGTGATTCATGTGTCGGGTGGGTGTAGGTGTAGGGGAATTGTCTGATTCTGAAGATCCCCTTGTGTCATTTCCGCTATCTGAACGCGACGCCATCGCTAATGCGACAGCTGATTTACCAAGCGGACCAAATTCAACAAATGACATGCATGAAGGAGCACCTCGACTATGCTAATACAAACGTCGGCAGAAGCAGATTCATATTTTCTAATCCACGGTTCAACCTGGAAAAAGAAAACATGAGAATCAGAAGGCATTCCGGTGGAAAAATAATATAAAAATTAAGTTCACACTCATCATTCATTTTGCTTAACCCTCTACCGCCTGACATGAGTAGCCAGAGCAACATTGTCACAAGCCTAGCCGAAAAGGATACCTTGCTTAGTGAGCGCAAAATGACTTGCACAGATGGTTGCCGCATCGTACGACAACTTTAAACTGTTCTCTTTTGCGTACAAACATAATAAGGTTATTACACTCACTGGTTTACTTATAATTTGAGTTGAAAGTTATGTTCCCGGATATTGACATACGGCGGTAGAGGGTTAAGTTCCACGTCTATGATTGCTAATCAAAACTCTTTCCTTGCACAAATTATAAAATCGCGCGCAACAAGAATAAAACTTTACTTCATGTCACGTTCATAAAATTACTCTGCACTAAATTATTATTCTCAAATGTAAAAAAGGGACGAAAAATAGCAATTTCACAATTTGACTCCTGAACCAATCTTGCTGGTATCCACGATCTAATTTAAAATAACTGCAACATAAGCATTTCCTACGATGCAAAAAGAAAAGATAGCAGCAGGCTGTCAATTTTCTTCCCTATCTATTCACTTCGTTTCGATAAAAACTATAACTCTGAAAGCTTCTTCAAGAGAAGGTATCCTAGGCATAAACACTTATAGCTGACCCAAGGTAACAGCAAATGACTTCGTTACGACGTCGCCGCTCATATCCGTGCGAAGAAAGAGAAACATAAGCTGCTTTCGAACGTCCTTTTGAGGAGCTTTGCCAGTCATTGTCGACATTTCTGCTACCTTCTCTAGACCAGCCTCCCTGAGAAGAAAAGATTCACGCCTCGCGAGAAATGACCCTTTTCCTCCCGACCCTGCCTCTCCTGCTTCCTTTGAAGACTGACGCTCGAAAACGGTCTCAAAACTTATGCATTCTTAGCACTACAAGGAAAATTATGCAGCGACAGCCAAACAAACAGTTGATATTAAATTAAATTTGGTACATAATTTAACATAAGTATCTTCAATATATATTCTAAATGAAATAGACAATTTGATATTGACATGGAACATTCATTGTTACCCGTGAAGCATTAACTGTGAAATTACCAAACTAAATCATCCAGAGAAAAGAAAGCCAATCGTTTATTAGACTTTTTGCTCTTGGATCAGATACGAGAAGCCCAGATGTGACGAGCGGTCTTTGTGCAGTCGTACGCGGTTATGAGATAAGATAGTTCGAGGTTAGTTATTATCCAATCCTACGTTATCAGACGGCACACAAGGGCGAGTGCGTGTAGCGGGGTAAGGTTTCAGACGTGAGCAGAGAAAGGCGCTGATTCCCTAATGTAGTTTTGTGGATATGGATAACCCACAACGCAGTATTCACCAAACATTACGAACCGATTAAAAGATATTTTGAATAGATTAAAAAGACTATAATATTTATTTTGGACTTTCAATACCGCTTAGCTGACATTTTCGTTCCAGATTGATTCATTCATCTCCAGAACACTGCAAATGACGACAGTAATATCGCACTACGTAGTACGTACGGGGGAGCCTGTGAGCAAATAAATTCCCCATCCGTAAGCCCTTCTTTAAAGTTAACGATATGGACGCACCATCAATGGAAATTCGCAATCATTTATTATACAGTTTACATATATTTGGTGTTTTTCAGATTTTTAAACAAGTAAACGCACGCCCGGTGAGAACACACTCAGAGTTAGAGGTTCCCATGAGGTCAAACTCACGGCACGAAGCGCGAGGTGCTGACCCACTTACTTCTAACAAAACACGCGCATTGAGCGAAACCCCAAAATAAAGAGAAACTTCCTTCACGGATAAAACGCGAAAATCGCATGTGTATGCCAACAAACCTATAAGGCTTTCGACGCATGCAAGATAAAAAAAATCCAATTTATAACCGGAAAATAACATCAACGGTTGAAGTTTATTGAGGTTAGGTTAGGTGAAGGATGTTAGGTTAAGGTGCAGTAGAAGTGGGCTAAGGTTCAAAGTTAGGTTGGCTGCAAACGTTAGGTTAGGTGCAAAGTAAGGTTAGGCACAAAATAAAGTTAAGTACAAAGTAAGATTAGGTAAAAAGGAAGGTTAGGTACACATTAAGGTTAGGTGCAAAGGCTAGGTTCGGTGCAAAATTTAGATTACGTGCAAAGAAACTGAAAATGTTAAAATCACACCAAGCTTCTTTTCGATCAATTGCAAGATGTAATTGTAATAGAACCACAAAATACTTTATTAAATTCCGATCGTTAAACCTCACCTCAACCGATTAGAGAACAAAAATTAAAAACAAGTAAATTAACTCACTGGGAAAACTTCACACTAGCTGTCAACTAAATATAACAACGTTGAAATTATTTGCTGTTTTGTTCAATCATTAAAATCTTCCATCCCCACAAGCAAACATTGCATTCGTTTTCGTTTGAAGCAACGGTGTAATTTATTTAAATCTAGTCGGTTTCATCCTCTTTTCACGACCGTCTTAGGGGTATTTATCAAAGTTTGTGGGTGTATTTGATGCGTGCGCAACTGTAGACAATTGCCAATTAACTTTTTAAACTAAACAACTTTCGAAAAAAATGTTTCTCCCTTGCAAACCCTGCCATGCAAAGTAAGGGAAACTCTTATCCAATCAAGAAGTTTCCCGTTCGACAAAGTCCATCCCGACCCAAACGGGATGAAGAGCGGGCGGGCAGCACGCAGAGTATCAAAGAACACTGCAGGACGGCCATGAACGGCACCTAACAAAGCCCTCAGTAACGGGAGGAGGGGATGAGAGCGTGGTCTGTGCACTGTACAGTGTACTATGTACTTTAGAGTACCTACACTACACAACTTGCGCGGAAATTCCACCAGCGTCGAACATTCGCTGCAGTGAGCGAGCGCGTATCACGTCACAGCGTTGCGAAACCATATGGTATCTGAATTTCAGGATTTGATAAGGGATTCGAAGATATGCCTAACGGACGCGTTCTCATGCGAAAAACATTAGAGGCTCATATGTATTTTCGTTGTGCCTCTCGTCAGCGTAGACTCACTCAGATGTGCACGAGTTTGGAGGTGTTGCCTCTTATTTACGTGGCTAAGTGTTCCATATTAAGGGTCATCTTTTTTAAGCGTTCATGTACCCTACTCCATTTTAATGGTTGCAAAGCCTTGGTTAACTTAATCCGATTGCATATTTATGTCGTCCAAGTCAATGGTTATCATACCTTCCATTTGAATGCTTATGTCTCAAATTTAAACGGTCATTATGCCTAAATTTGCGCATTTATGCTTGCTATGCGAATCGGGTTTTATAATAATCAATATTAATGTACGATATAATAATTTCATATCGTTGGCACGATATTAATGTGCGATAGGTAAAACTGCAGAGCAACGTACGACAGCACGATGCTCGACACGAAGTCCAGAGGCAGATATAGTGGGAAACTTTAAGATGAATTGAATGAATAATTTGAGAAAAATATACGGGAAAAAAAACTAACGAAATAATATAATTTTTTATCAGCAGTTAATAAATTGAGAAGAATATCATGATAATATTAACAAAATATCTGAGCGAAAATTTTTATGTGACTCAATAAATGTTAACCGGCTAAGTCGATATAAGAGCTGTTTGAGGAGGTGGGAAGCAAAATGTGACTCATCTGAATAAACTTTCTCCCCTGGTTATGCCCAGGTTCTTGGAATCCATTGCGAGGGTTACGCCTCCTGAATACATTTATTGCAATTGCAGATGCCACAAACTATGCAGCCACAACGCGATACAAACAATCTCACGAGCTGAGATCATTACATCGTTAATATTTTTAGCTGGGTTGTGCTATAGTTGCAAACACAATTTCACAATACAAAGTAAGATCAAAAACAATCCTTGCTAGGAAAATGTTCCAACCATTTTCTACATGGCTTATAGGTACAATGTAGGACTGTTACATTAGCTACAAGATGTAAAGCAGAGTTCAATAAAGACAACGATACGGAGTGGCGTTTGAGCTTAGCGCTTCCAACTCAAATAGCGCTCCTCTGATAGCAATATGAACCAAAGTAATCATTCAACGATGAGATAAAAGTAAAAAAATAATATTGTGCCAGTCACTTGCAGATATTTTTGCCGATGATGTTGGTTAAGAATACTCGAATTAATCTCGACGTAGATTTATACTAAATTCAACTTATGCCATATTTTTTCAAGCAGGAAACGACTCATATAAAAAACAATATCCTATTTGTGGGTGAAATGACAAAAAAATACCAATCCTACGTACATTGCGAGAGCTGCTGTCACTGATTTATCTCTTGATCTGATACACACAAGTCGCTAATTACCAGAGCCCAAATGACCACAGAGCCGAGCAGCGGATCTGCGACCAGAGAAAGCCCGCGCCTGATAGCGCTGCTGAGATGCTGCCGAGATACCGAGAGAAAGTCTCGCGTCGAGCGTGCGCAGAATATCGCAAGGAGCCCTGCGACCGACGGACTGCGTGCCCCTACCGAGCTGTCAATGCAAAAAATGCACCAAGACCTTTGCTGGTCATAGTCGAAGAACCGCAATGTAAGAATGCAGTGGCGCTTTGGAATACTTATGAAACATTTTCATGTTCATGTCAACTTCCTTTGTAGTAGTTTTGGATGTGATGAATATGTTGGAACAGTGACGGTAGAAAACCATGACCAATAAAATTTTTGCGCAAGTTTCGCAGTCGATGACAAAAAGTTTTATACGAGGGAATTGTGTATTGTGTTTTGAAGATTAAAAGAAATCAAAATGAAATCAGAAGAACGAAACCTTCAGCCTTCGATCGATTATCTGAAATAAACTCCTACAAATTGACCAAACATCTGTTAAATTTTTCAGAGTAAACACAGGTTCCGCTTCGTAAAAAAATAATGTTTTTCTTCCTGCAATTCACACAGCATTTTTCCTCGAGGAAACGATAAATTTGTCTCTCC